TATCAAACACATCCCGGGCGGAGGCAGTGTGAGTACCTTCACACTTTGAATGCACTGTGATAATCCTGATTTTAGTGGCATGTTGTTACACTAATCACCAATGCTATCTGCAGCCACCTTGCTGTCACATAGCCATTGGGGACGTGCTGTCATTTAACCCCATTAACCCGAAAGACATGGTGAGATGAACCCTAACAAGTCCTGGACATGCCTGACATGGACAGAACTAACTGCCCCTTGTCCAAACCATGTCTGTAACAAAACATCCCAGTAACTCCAGGGTTTGGCACTTCCTGGAAGGCTGAAAGCCTCGTTGTCTGTGGGATGGGGGCTCTGGCAGACGGTGATGTAGGAGACGAGTAAATTTATGAGCAGACCCCGTCCTCGTTGCTTAATGTGCTGCTAAATTGGACATGATCCTGCCCAACAGATGAACGTGCAGGTTCCTGCCCGTTCCCATCAGGCAAGTATGATCCATGCAAATATTAAGCTTCTCCTTGCTAATGAATGTGTCCGGCAGCGCCCACGGAGGCTGAGCCTAAAGTACTGTTGAGTTAATTGATTTGAACGCTGGCATTTCCAGCTGTTCCCAGATAAATACTGGACTCAGCTTTCAGTTACTGTGCCAGAAACCTGGAGAGACTCCACAGAGGTCGATGGATTTACAGCAGTTTCACTGGAGACAGTTTGGGACCAGGAAAGACGACGGGCCAAGGAAGACCCCAAACGGTGCGACCCGTGGTCTGTGGGGGCCTGGTCTGTCTGAGGGAGCATCTCAGATGTTCCCCATGGATTTTTCATGGGCTTTCCTTGATCTCTGTGGACGCCCTCCCTGAGAAACTGAGCATTGCAGAGGGCTTGGCACACGCTCGCAGGGACACAGCTGGGTTTGCAGCCTCTGGCTCAAATTTGGTGTCATTCTGCAGTTACTTCATGGGCCAGAGGAGCTGCTCTGCGAGCCCAGACCCCCGTGAAGCAGTTCCATGGTTGTTCCTCTTCTTCACCCTGGAGTCCTGCACTGGCTGGGCTGCCTGGTGTGTGATGGACCAGGAGCTGGTGTTGGCCATGGATCCCCTGTGCTGTGGCTGCTGCTGAGCTCCAGCACAGCGTGCTGAGCTCGTCCCTTCCTCCACGGAGAGCTCACACCGTGGGCGAGCGATTGCAGCTGAACTGGGTTAAAAATTATCTGGATTTTTGGCTGGGGGTTGTGATCCCTCCCCAGGCCCTGCCAGCACAGAAAAGCCTGTGATCTGTGCCTGGCTGCAGCAGCTCTGGGAGCTCTCGGAGCAAAGCCCTGTGCTGACGTGGCTGCACGGGCTGTCCTGGGGGCAGGGATGGGCCTTGGGGCTCCTCTGGGAGAGGGGCAACAAGAGACCCCCAGGCTTTGATGGCCATTGTATCTTAAATCCCAGAGACCACCTGCCCAGCCATCCCTGCTTCCAGGGGGAACTGTCACTACCTGAGCTGGGTACCTGGATTTTTAAGCCCATGGATGCTCTGACCAGGTGATGCATTAGGCAAAAAGCACTTCTTATGCTGAGAGGTGGGATCCCCAGGTCTCTGGCACTGCTTTCCCAGGCAAACTACTCTGTTCCCCTTTTCCTTTCTTGCTAAAATGGGGAGGATCCTTCTCTGCTCCCAGCAGGATGGGAAGGGATAATGGAGTCCTGTCTGTCAAAAAAGGGACTGGAATGAGAGCAGAATATTCCAATTGCTGATTGTTTGCCCTGGAAATGGGAGGCCTTTCAGTCCCAGGTCTCAGTGGTGCCTGAATTGCTCGTAGGCCCTTTGGGGTCACAGCTGGGGTTAGAAAGGCCCCAGCTGCCCTTTTCGGGTCCCTTTCCTGCCTTCCGACCAAATCTGGCTCCTGTCTTGTCCAGTGCATTAAACGTGTGACCTTTCCCCAACTCTGTCTCCGTGTCTGTGTCCACGATGTGCTCCAAGGCCCTGGGGGTTCATTCCCCCACTCTCTGTCTCCCGTCGAATGTTCCTTTTGGTCTGCGTGAGCATCGGAGACAAGGCAGGTCAGCACAGGGCTCTGCGCTGGTGGGACCAGATCTGCTCCTGTCCTTTTCCTGGCTCTGTGATGGAGGGGGAGTGTTTCTCAGGGGTGTGACAGTCCACCACCCAGCTCTGAGGGTGATGGGGCCAACGTGAGGACTGGAGGGTGCACCTTCCCCTGGGGGTTGAGTCAGCAGGGGGTTCTTGGGTGCGATGGAGAGCAGTGGCTGCGATGAATCCTCTGTGCTGGTCTGGAGGCCGCTGGGAGGGAGGAGTCAGCTCCTCTCTGAAGCTCCCTTTGGTGCTGGCACATCCTTCCTGAGATTTGTGAGAGCAGCACAAACGCGATGCTGGAGAAAACACGGAGAGCAGCACATGCTCCCCATGAAATCCAGGCTATCCCCGAGAGCCAAGCACTCCCCAGTGCATGGGAACCACCCCGAGGTGTTGATGGTCCAGTTCCTCCTGCACAGCCCCACTAACTCCAGCAACAACTGACCCACACCCAGGTGTGGGTCCAAACCCAGGGTCTGAGGTAACCTGTGGGGTTCTGGGGATGTTTCCTCCCCCCTTGTCTCCTGCTCCTGCCGTAGCTGCCGTGTGTGTGCCGTGGTTTGCCGTCCCTGGGGGGCTCCCAGCCCTCCGCGGCCGTCGCTGTTCCCGGTGTGGTGTTTAACTGCTAACGTAGCACTAAACCAGCCCCACGTTGCTGCCCCTGCTGTGTGTGTGTCCCGTGTCACCCGCTGTCCATGGGCAAAGGCCGCCGGCCCCGCGCGGTCCGTGAGCGGGGCGGGATCCGTGGAACTGCTGCAGCCCTTGTTCTGAGACATAATGGGACGAGCAAATCAAAAGCAGAGCATAAATGTCACGAAATGCTGTTGTGCTTCGATATTTTATAACATTTTAATCTCTTATGATGTGATCTCCAGATATTTAGACTTTTCTTTGCTGTTTTATTTTTTTCTCCCCCTGTTTTTTTAACCCTTATTTCCGTTACAGCATTTTTCAGAAATGCATATTTTGGTCACTCTTTTAAAAGTTCTGTGCACATTGATCATTTCTGTTCTTTCAGTTTTTGTGGACATAAGCTTTATGTTTTACACCAGAAAAGGTATTTATTTTTTACGTTTTCTCTCTGGTATATCTCCTCCTTTTGGATGATGTGTATGCAAATCTTAATTAATTACCACTCCACTTTCTCTCTCACTTGAGCACTTTAAAATTGCCTCTACTCCCCCCTCTGTGGAGAGGTGATCTCGTGCATGCTGACATGTTAAGAGGCTACTGCACATGGGCATTAATGATCTCCCATTTCTGATGACAGTTTCTTTTGTATCATTAATCTTCCTGGGGTTTGAGCTGTCCTTTCCCTCCAATCCAGCTCAGGTGCCGCTGTGTGTTGTGCTCCCCCTCCCCAGCCAGTCCATCCTGGCAATGAGCTCATCCCTTTTTCCTCTCTCCCACGGGCAGGTTCAAATCGTTTACAAGCCAGTCGACCTGAGCCACGTGACATCCAAATGTGGTTCCCTGGGCAACATCCATCACAAACCAGGTACCCTTTGGCCTTGTGCTGATCCTGGGAGCTGGTGGGCTGTGCTGTGGTGTGTCTGGAGATGGGGAGAGGGTTGGGATAGGGCAGGGAGTGAGGACAGGCACGTGGAGCAGTGACTGGAGCACCAGAGTGAGCCCTGGAGTGCTGGATGCTGTTCCCAGCTCTGTCACTGCCAGACCTGCTCCTGTCTGCCCGAGTGCTCGGAGCAGGGGAGGGATCTGGTGTCATCTGAAGGACTTTTCACAAGGGCCTGGAGTGACAGGACAAGGGGGAATGGCCTTAATTTGAAAGAGGGTAGATGTAGATTGGATATTAGGAAGAAATTCCTCCCTGTGAGGGTGGGGAGGCCCTGGCACAGGTTGCCCAGAGAAGCTGTGGCTGCCCCTGAATCCCTGGAAGTCCAAGGCCAGGTTGGACGCGGTTTGGAGCAACCTGGGCTAGTGGAAGGTGTCCCTGCCCGTGGCAGGGAGTGGGACTGGGTGGGCTTTAAGGTCCCTTCAACCCACTGTTCTGTGATTCTGTGATCCATGGATACCTTTGTGCCAACACATCCCTGTAAGTGGGAGGTATTTAGGAATAAACAGGGGGGGCTGCTGGTTTGGGGGATCAAGGTCAGCTCCCTGCCCTCAGTTCTGTAAAACATTGAGGTGTGTGCCAGCTCTGCAGAGCATCCTTTGGTAGGTCTCTTTACCCTGTCTCCTATTTACCCTGACTCCTGGTTTTCCCAAATCATCATGGGGTCCCTTTTGCTGCTGTTTCCCTGGGCCTCACCCTCTGCTTGGCCTCGGAGGGCTGTGGCTGAGTCTCCTTGGAGCAGCTCAGATCTCAGTGACCTGGCTGCTGACCCAACCCCTGCTCTTTACTCCAGGTGGAGGCCAGGTGGAGGTGAAATCTGAGAAACTGGACTTCAAAGATAAGGTGCAGTCGAAAATTGGGTCCTTAGATAACATCAGCCACGTCCCTGGAGGAGGGAATAAAAAGGTAAAGGGGCACTGGGCTGGGAACAGGCACCTTCTGCTGTGTCTGGCTGTGCAAGTGAAGATGGGTGGGAGTCTGGGCTTGGAGAGGGTCCTGCTCAGGGCTCCTGGGCTGCCTGTCCCAACCCAGGGGACGTTTGCTGGAGCAGAGCTGTGGCAGAGCTGCCAGGACTCCAGGCTGTGCCTTTCCTGGCCCGTGGCCACGCGGATGAGTTCGGGTGTCAATGACAGCCTCTGCTGTGGTTTCCTGCTCTTTCTGCCGTCTCTGAAGTTCGTGTTTGCGTCTCAAACCTTTCTCATGAAGGAGTGTCACCATCAGCAACTCCTGTGCACTCTGGGTTGGTGCAGTGGCAGCTCGGGGAGCTGCAGAGGTGTTGGATCCCAGTGCAAGTGGAGCATTTAAAGCTCAGCTTTATTTAGAACAGGTGACTTTGCAGCAGTCTGGCCCTTCAGAAGGTGATCTCTCCTTCCTAACTGAGGACTCTGTGTAGGGAGGGGGTGCTTGGGGGGATTTAAATTGAAACACAAAAGCCACTCAGGTCAGGGGAACAATGAACTTGGGGTGAGCTGTTCCCACTGAGGCTTTGATGCCAACTTCAGTGAGTCTTAGCTGAGTAAAACAACCCCCACAGCCTGGCTTCAAGGCCACCAAGTCCCCAGCAGGCCGGGGAGTGAGGACATCAGGTAAGCACAGAGCTGAGACTCCAGCCTGGGGACAGACAGGGGTCAATCTCCCCAGGGAAAAAAAGGCACTTTTAGCTTGCTTGTTTTTCCAGCACTTTTTTCTCAGTGGGAGAGGAGGGTTCTGTTTCAGCTCCTGTATTTTGGCACTTTGTTCTTGGCCACATGTTCTCTGTGCACCCCCAGCTCTCACCTCCAGCCGGCCTCTGACTGCGGGACCGCTTGACTTCCTTACCCTTCTCTCTGCTGTGCATCAGCCTCCCCTGTGCTTCCCTCAGCCCTCTGCCACGGGTTTTGTGCTTACAGTGACAGTTCTGTCACATCCCAGCTCATTCACTGGGCCACAGTTTGAAGGGCTTGCCCTTTGCAGGGGGATTTCTCTGCAAAGGTGTGACCCAGCAGTGACATCACCACCTCAGCCTAAACCCTGCCTAAACCCACACCTGGAGGAGGTTGTGGTTGTAACCGATTTCAGGTGCTGCCTCAGATTGCTTCCATTCTCCAGCCCATTCCTATCCACACCAGGATCATCCTGGGGCAGCACTGCTCCAAGGTGGAACAGGGGGAGGGGACGGGACACAGCTGAGCCCCACCAACCCTCCACACAGAGCAGCTGTGGGCAGCTCTGCTGCCCCTTCCCCAGCATTTCCTGTGTCCCCAAGTCCCCTCTTTGCTGTGTGACACACAGATCCAGGCTTGGACTTGCAGTCCACAGCTCCTCAAGCTGAACTCTGGTTCCTCTGCTGCTCTGGCAGTGGGTGTTCTGTGGGGAGCCGGGGTGCTCCGTGCTGTGCCACAGTGCCTGTGCTCTCCCTTGGCACACCTGGAGAGTTTTCCTCTCCAGCTCCAAAGGCAGCCACTCTTCTTCCTATGAGTCAGTGAATGGCCCTGTTTTTCAGACCTTTTTCTCCACAATTTTCTATTCCTTTTCTATATTTTTGGTCTTTTTTCCTTCTGGCTGACATTTATTGGGTCGTGGTTTTTGTTGCTGATGCGTTTTTTGCCCCCCACCGCCCTGGGCGGGTTTCTTCACCTGTAGAGAGAGAAAGGCAAGGAAGACAAGACCCGGACCCCGAGCCCAGACCCCGCTGGGCTCCAGGCCCTGGTGCTGGAGCCGCCCACCCTCATGGAGAGCCAGCTCCCAGCCTTGCACTCGGCTGGGGAGGGCACCAGTAAGTAGCAAACCCCATCCAGTTCACCTCCGCTCGCCGGGAGAGGGGTTTGGCTTCTGGGAGCAGCTCTGTGGGTTAAGGGGAAGCTTCATGTGCCATATGGGGATCCCACCGCCCCTAAAATCTCTGCTGGGGGAGTGAGAGCAACCCAGGTTGTGCCCTTGGAGTCCTGGGACCCACCACCACACCTGGGGAGGATTTTGCAGCATCCCGAGATGCTCCGGTCCTGCGATCCCCTCCGGCTGTGCCCATTCCCTGTGCGGGCCACTGGAAGGGACATCCCTGAGGACTGGAAGGGACATCCCTGAGGACTGGGGGACACTGGTTCAGTGCTCTGAGCTGTCCTCCCACCTCTCAGCGGCCGTGCTGGAGCAGGCACGTGGCAGGTCCCACCAACCCCCCCCGACCACGCCCCCCTCACCGCCCTCCCCTCTCCTCGCAGATTGAGACCCACAAGCTGACCTTCCGCGAGAACGCCAAAGCCAAGACCGACCACGGCGCCGAAATCGTCTACAAGTCCCCCACCATCTCCGGAGATGCCTCCCCGCGCCGCCTTAGCAACGTCTCCTCCACCGGCAGCATCAACCTGGTGGACTCCCCCCAGCTGGCCACGCTAGCCGACGAGGTGTCTGCCTCGCTGGCCAAGCAGGGCTTGTGATCGGGGCACGGCGGCGACCAGGAGAGAAGACAAGGAAAGGAAACAAAACAAAACAAAAAAAAAAAAAGGAAACAAAAATAATAATCTGGCCTTCTTCCTCTGTTCCTTTTACAGCTGCTTCCCCGTCCCTAACTGGTTAATGATTTAACCTGCTTTTACTGTTCATTCAGCTCTAGCTCCAGGACTTCAAAATCAGTGACACTATGAGGTACAAAACCTCCTCTCCCCCTGCTCCTCGGAGCGCACAGCCCGTCCCTGTCCCCACGCTCCCCCTCATTCCCTGCCGCGTCCCTCACTGTCCCAGCCCTGCCCGGGACCACCCGGGGAGGGCGCCCGAGGGGACGGCCCCGCACGGCGCTGACCCGAGCACCCCACACCGGCACAGGGCAGCGGGTGGCCCTCAGGGAAGAGGCTGTGACCTTCCCACCCTCGTCCCCCCGAGGATGGCCGGGCTGGCCTGAGGGCCGGGCGCGTCCTGGGTGCACAGCCAGGGACTGCGGGGAGGTGCCCTCCCTCCCTGCGTTAAATTTGCCTGCTGATTTGGAAGAAACCTTTTGTTTTTATCTCCGAAAGCCGAGATGTGTCTGAAGATAACGGCCAGGTACCCCCCAACCCCGCTCTCAGCTCCGGCAGCTGGAGTACAGGCGAGCCCGGGGTACCCGCTGCGGAGGGGCCCCGACGGCCGTTCCCCTCTCCGTGGCTGTGCTGGAACCGCTGAGTGGATGAGTAGAGGCTTTTCCCCATTCCTTTGGCAGCCCCTCGTGTCGTAGAGTAGATTTGTCTGTATATGCTTGGACCGTGCCAGGGTGATTGTTTTCATAAACGAGCATGTGTTTGAAAAAAAAAAAAATAATAAATGCTGTAAGTAGTTTTGAGCTGCCCCGCGCCGGCTCCGCCGCAGCCCAGCCGGGGGGGTCCGGGCAGCTCGGCCGGGCTCTGGGTTGTGCCAGCCCCGGGGTTGTGCCGGGGCAGCCCCGGCACTGCATGTCTGCCGGGTGGGAGGTGGGCACAGAGCCGCTGCCCCGCGCCCCGGGGAGGGCCGGGGGCTGCGTTGGGCTCCCCGGGGGCTGCGTTGGGCTCCCCGGGGCCGGGCACCTCCCAGCCCCCCCGGGGCGTTGGGTGAGGGGCACTCACAGCTCCAGGGCTGGGATGGCTCCTGGATTTTGGGTGCAGCTTGTGACATTTTTGGGTTGTTCTCTTTCTTTCCCTGCAAGGTCAGCTCAGCGATGGCGGAGGCGGCAGCTCCGTGGCCCTGCTGTGCCGGTGGCAGCCGTAGGAGACCCCCGGGAGGACGCGGGGAAGGCGCGAGGGAGGTGCAGCAGCTCCCCCAGCCTGAGCTCGGGGCCCAGCGGCTGCTCCCTGGCACTGAACCCCCTGTCCGGGCGCTCCCCGGGTTTGAGTTGGCAGCGTGTCACCCCTCCCAGTGTCCCCTCACGCAGCACTGACCGCCCCCGGCACCGCTCAGGGACAGGAGCCGCTTATTTCTTTTGCTACTTTTGTTCCTGTGGCTCCCTGGGGAGCACGAGGGGGTCCCGTGGCCGTCCCCACCTGCCCCTTCCCTCTACAACCAAAGAGACTGAGATGCCACCAGTGCAGCTCTGTGTGTGTCCTCCCGCCCTGTGTCCCCCAGAGGCACCAGCCGAGCTCTGGGGGCACAGCTGGCAGAGGTGAGGGCAGAGGGGGCACCGTGTGGGCCCCAGACCGTGCACCCCAAGGGCTGTGCTGCAGGGAAAGCCGTGCTTTCCCAGCATCGGAATCCTGGTCTGGCGGGGCTGGCAGAGGGTCATGCTGGGGCATGGGGCCCTGGTCGTCCTTGGGGAGGTGGCTGGGTGCCACCAAGGCTGCCAGAGCAGCTGTTCCCGGGCAGAGCAGCGATTCCTCCCAGGACAGGACTCACTCCCATCCTGCAGGAGCTGCAGACCCGCCTTCGTGCGCCCTGTGCCTCCGGGGGGCTGCTGGATGCCTGGCTGGGGCTGGGGGATGGCTGTTCGGGGGGTTCAACCCTCCCCTCTGCAGCCCCAGGAGCTGCTTTACTGCTGGGGAGAGGCTGGTCCAGCAGCACCACCACGTCCAGCTCGTCTCTCTCCGTTCAGTTGACTCCATGATTGTAGCCGTGCTCTGTCCCCGACTCTGTAGCGCTGTAGGAGCCGCCGCGGTTTTTGTCCTCTGTAAAACGAGCAAGTGGGAGAACCCCGAAAGCATCACCCCCTTTATCCCTTTTGGGCTGCAGGACGGTGTAGCTGAGCTGGCCCACCCTGCCCTGTGCCACCCCCGGCCCCTCCGTGCAGCCCCCGAGGGACACCAGCACCCAGGGACGGGGACGTCCTTTGCGTGTGCCGAGCTCCATGAGCAGCCCCTTCCCGCTGCGAGTGTCCTCAGCCCCGTCTGCCGTCCCCCTCCCGGGGGCTGGGGGGGGTCCCAGGACAGCCCTTTCCATCCACCTCGTCGCCCGCTGTCCCCTCCACCAACCCGAGCCACGTCCCCAGCCCTGACCCTGCGTTCAGACCCAGGCCTGAGGGTCCCCGTGAGCAGCCTGACCCCCAGCTTTTCCTTTACTCCACACACATCTTGGTCTGAAAAGGGTTAAAACCGGCACTGATTAAAAATAAAATTAAAAAAAAAATCCTATTTCTGCACTCCAAAAAGGATCTGGTTGTTAGCGAAGGTCGGTGCCAGCCTGTGTGGCGTTGGCAGCTCCGTTGCTCCCGCGCTGCGCCGGGGCAGGGAGGGAAGGTTTGATCTCAGTGTATCATTCTAGCTTAGCTTCTGTCTGTGGGTGTCCATAGTGTATCGTGTGTTTAACAACTGGTTTACACTGTTGCCGTAAAAGTGAATTTGGAAATAAAGTCATTACTACAATAACGACAACCGGCGCCTCTTTTCCGTGCGGGAGCAGGGACACGGGAAGGGGGGGATCCCTCCTCGCTGGAGGATCAGCTGGTGGGGAGCAACAAGGATAGGCAGGGACTAGTTTTCACTTTCGAAGTACCAGTTCCCACCCTTCTCCCGGGGGCACAGTGGGCTGCAGGAAGTGGAGGGGGTGTCTGGTGGGCAGGGCAGAGCCCCAGCAGCCGGGAAGCCCAAGTGTTGTGTTATTTTTGGTCCCTGACCATAGACAGGACATTCTCAGAGGTGGAGCAAGACCAAACCCTGCTCTGCCCCCACAGCCAGGGGCTGCTTTGGGTCCTGGCAGCGCCACATTCCCCAACTCCAGCCCCATCCAGCCTCTCAGGGCTGCAGCTTTCATAGAATCACAGAATCATTAAGGCTGGAAAAGACCCCCAGGATCACTGAGTCCAGTCCTTGACCAAATCCCACCGTGCCCAATCCACCACTTGCAGTCCAGGAGCCACCACAAGGTCTCTTCACTCTGCACCTTCCTCAGGACTCGCCTGCCCTGTGCAGGTGGGAGAACTTTCCGGCCTGGCACAGCTGCTCGTGCCACTGTTTGCTTTTCCAATTGGATTCTTCCTGCCCTGTTAATGCCTTGTACTGAACCTGGCGATGCTCAGGCTGCTGCCTCATACTTTGATCTCCTGGCTAATAATCAATTGGCACCTTCCCGTTTCCCCTCTGTGGGGATAACGAGGCACAGAGTATAATTCCCTTATTTTGGGACTCTAGGAGCAGCCATGAAGTTGCCTCCCCCCACTCACCTCCTGCAAACACTGAACTCGCCCCACAGGGGCAAATGCTCCCCAACAACAGTCCCTGGGTGTGAACCAGCAGCACTGAGTTAACCCCAAAAAAGTAAATTAAACCCCAGCCTGCGTGTTTGGACGGAGCAATGGGAAGCACCACCGAGCCCTGGTCCTGCTCCATCATCTGCCCCAGAGCAAAGCCCAAATCCAGAGCTCCCACAGGACAATTCCTCCTCTTACTGAGAGCAAGTGCTGGGAAATAACATCACAGAGGAAAGAAGAGACCACTGAAACGTGGCCTGGGAGGGAAGGGGCTGATCTGAGAGCACCGAAGGGCCCCTTCCCCGTCCCAGCTTGGTATTGCACACTCATCACATGGAATATTCCGTTTTAATTTTTTTTTTAATCTTTTCTTCTTTTTTTTTTTTTTATAAGCACATTTGTGCTTTGCCAACAGAATCAAGACATTAACAAAGATCAGCTTCTCGGAAGAAAAGCATTTCTATATAACAAGGACATTACACAGCTCAAAGCAGGAAAAGAAAATATTTACAAAATACAAGGTGGGTTGGTTGTTGGGTTTTTTTTGTGTGTGTGTGTGGTTTTTATAATGCTAAAAGGGTTATTCAGAATTTTCAACCTTATAAATAGAAAAGCACTTCTGCAGAGGGATATGGTAGCGCCGTTGTTTGTTGGGTTCTTTTGTTTGTTTGTTTTAAAGAAACAATGACGGATCCTTTTAAACTAGAACAGAACCAAAACCACGAGATAATGTTGAAAATTGTGAAAACCCCGACCATGAAGCAGTTCAGCGACTATTTCTTTACGATTACAAAATGGAAAAAAAAAAAAAAGTCCTTTGTAATTTTTTTCCCCTTTTTTTTTTGTCTTTTTTTTTTTGATTTTTTTTTTTTTGGTGATGTGATTATACATAAGACAGGCACAAATGCTATAGCAACAGGACAGGGACCAGGAGCCACACCGTCGGGATGGGAAAGCGTTACAGATGGGGACGGTGTGCGGGATCCGGGAGTCACTGCGGGTGCGGAACCGGGCGGGGAGGGACGACAGCGAACTCGGGTTCAAACTCCAATACCTGTCAGAGGGGACCCCCCAGGCCCCCCGGGAATGAAACGGAACCAACCCCTGAGCCGGGGCCGTGCGGGAGTGGAGCGAAGCTGTGGTGACCCCTCGACCCCCCAGAGCCGCCTCCTGCCTTCCCCTCTCCACTCTCCCCCCTGCGGGAACCACCCCGGCCCTGCCTCATCAACCACCCCGGCCCTGCCTCATCCCACTCCCGGCGGCTCCTCCCCGCCTCATCCCGCCCTCCCAACCCCGGCCCAGCCCCACGGTTCCAGCTGGATCAGCCTCATCCCCAAAGGGCATCCAAGTGCCCCGGGAATTCTGCTCCTGCTCAAAGCATCGGGGACTCTTCCCCTCCCTGCCCTCGAAACACGCCAGGTGGACACAAGCTGCTTCCCAAATCCCACTCTTTCCATGCAGAGCTGGAGCAGCCACAAGGTCCCTCCTTTCCCCCCTGCCGGGCACAGCAAGGGCTGCTCCAAACCTGGGGAGAAGGAAGGGGGAGGCGGCCCCGGGGGCAGAGGGGGGATCAGGGAGGGGCAGAATCCCCCCTCGGGATACCTGGAACTACAACCTGGGGGAGGGAAACGTGGGAGGGTGGAAGTGCAGGTGGGCACAGCCAGACAGTGAAGGTTGCAATCCCAAGACATCACTTTTCACCACTAATTTCACTCCACTAAAACCTTTCAGGGAGGGGGGTGGGGTGGGGGGAGCAGGTTAAGAGAAAACGACACCCTTTTGTTGGGAAAAACTATCCCCGAAATCTGCTAGTCAGCTAAATCCTGTGCTCTAGTTTTATACACCTAAGGGGGGGAGGGAAGGGGAGGGGGTCTGGTGGGCTGCTCCCCTCCCGAGGCTTCACTCCGCTGGGAGGAATCTGGGGACTCATTCATGTGACGAGGAAACATGGAGAAGGAAAAAAAAAATAAAAGAAAAAAAAAAAGAAATAAAAGAAAACAAAACAAAAAAAAAAGAAAACAAAAAACAGTTTCTAAACTCCTTAAATTCACTAAAAACTGTGAAAATTCCCGGCAGGATGTTTGAATATCAAACGCAGATTTTGGAAGCTTTAATGCCAAGAGTTAGTTCTGTGTGTTGGTTTGCTCATGTCTCCCCGTGTGTCTCTATCTGTGCGCTGGCCGCAGGACTGCGGAGCAGGAGGAGGAGGAGGAGGAAGAGGAGGAGGAGGAAGAGGAGGAGGAGGAGGAGGAGGGAGGGGGGGCCAGCGGGGTTCGGCTCTTGAGGCTGGCCAGGCTGGGCGAAGCCGAAGTGCCATCGGATTCCCGGGAGGATTTACTGCCCGACGTGCGGCGGGTGCAGCGCGACAACCGGTCCTGGGGGTCGGATTGGTCCTCGCACTCTGTCCGGGGGTCGTAGGAGAGCGGGAAGGTGCGTCGCTCCCAGGGCTGCACGGCCTGGAGGGGAGAGAACCAAGGCATTGGGGAATCCATTGGGGAATCCGCTGGAAAAGCTTTTGTGCCCGTGCTCCTGGAGCAGCAGCTCCCCAGTGCCGTGTCCCAGCCCCGGGAACAGCACCTGGGAAGCTTCTGACATGGGGAGGACATGGCAGCTCCAAACAGAACCAGCTGCTGGAAAAGCCTCCCGCTGCCCGTGCCGACCAACACCACGCTCTGCATCCCACCCGGCCCAGCATTCCCACGGCATTTCCCATGGGCAGGTTTTCCAAGCTGCCTCCCCACAGCCACATCCCAGCACCGGGTTCAGCCCTGAGGCTGCTCCTGCCCTGAGTGGAGCCAGAACCCACCTGCTCGTCCAGGCCGGCCTCGGGCGTGGAGCAACGCGTGTCCTCGCTGGACAGGAGCCGCAGGGAGTCCCGGGAGAGGGGGGTCAGGGGGGCACAGAGCAGTTCGGGGCTGATGGGGCTGCGTGGTGAGTGGCTGTGGGACAGCTCCAAGTGGGGGTGGTAGCTGCCCACCTCGGGGGAAGCCGGCTGGGGAGTCGAGGGGTTCCCCAGCTGGGGGGTTGTCCGTCCGTCCGTGGATCTGTAGGACCTGAGACAGGAGCAGGGATGAGAGCTCAGCCCCAGGCACAGCTTGTGCTCCCCTGCTGCCGCCCCACGACCCCTTCCACCCCGCTGGGAACAGCCCAGGGATGCAGCACACGGGAGCAGGGAATGCCACAGCCCAGAGGCCAAACCCATCCAGGCCCAGCTCTGTCCTGGAGCAGCTTTGCACCACTGGTGCTGCTCCCCTGAGGTCCCGTGTCCCACACGCCTCCTACGCTCCCAGTGCTGCATAAACACCGCCATGAGAAGCTCCCTATGAAATTAAGACACTTCAAAATTGGTTCTTCCAAGTATTTCCCATCTCCACACAACCACGTGACCCCCGGCAGCAGCTCAGGGACCGAGTGTGGGGAATCAGCAACGCTGGAAACGCAGCGATTCAGCAGCTGGGGGCAGGAGGAGCACAGTGAAACCCCGAGATTTCAGATTTTAACCAAGAATTAACAAAGTCTGAGCCCCGACACAGATTTCCAGATAAAAACCCACAGGCTGCAAACACAGAAACGTAACTGAGTCCCCACATCCAAGATGAACTGCAAAGGCAAGAGGCCACTGAGGACCTCCAAGGATCAGACTCCAGATCTTGGCCAGAATGTCCATCAGGACATACAAGCACAGACCAAATTAGACTAATTAAAGAGCTGCACTGCACCAAGCCAGACCAAGTTGTGCTGAATTGAGATGCAACTTAAAAGCTGCTACACAAAAAACCCCAAACCAATCTGTGATGTCCACAAGGCAGGAGGAGCACAGGAGGCCCAACAGATCTGCTGGAGAAGGTCACAGAGACAGGGACATTTAAGGGAGACTGAGTGAGTTTACCCCAGTGATTACTGGCCTTTCCTGGCCCAGGTGCTCCATAGGCAAGGAGCAAGTTACAGGCTCAATCACAGCAACAAGAAGTTGCCAGGCCTTGAGAGGCTCCAAAGATTTCTAAAGAAGGACTAAAGCAACTGCAGAGAACAACCAGCAACTCCAGGATGGGACCTGAGCAAGGACCCTGCCAAGGTGGAGCTCAGGATGTGATGACACCAAGCTGAACTCAGCCAGACTCTTGGCACAAACACAGCAAACCACATCCCAGGTTTGCTCCCATCCCCATCTCTCCCTGC